CAGCTTAGAAGGCAGAGAGTGTCCATCTTTTCTGCTCAGATTCAACTATCAGGGTATGATGCTAATGTTTACTCACGATGCTAATGCTACTGTTACATGTCTGGCTCACTGCTGCCAACTAGTGGTCAGAGGCTGAACTACAAAATAAAAATGAATGGCTGGCAGGAAAGTTGACATTTTAAACCTTAATAAAAAATCAATACAGGGCTTTAGAATATCGATACAGTATCGGGAAATGAAATATCGCAATATTTCAGTGTATCGATATTTTCTTACACCCCTAATGATAATTAGTATGTAGTTTTCCTTTTTTAGTTTAGTTGWGATTTTAAAAAGGTTAAACGGTTCTATTATTAAAATGTGATAGTAAACTGAATGCATATTTTCAGAAACAAARCATTTACTGATTCACAAAATGAATAGCCATATTTCAAAAGATTTTTGGACACTGAACCGCCCTGTGGTCCAGAAGGAGTGTGGTCAACATATTTTCTTTAAATTAATCTAATTTAAAAACAACGCCAACTGTTATGGTAATATTTATTCAGCTAAGACAGAAATACGTGGTCCAAGAATGAAGGTACTCCGTGAGATGATCAGCTGAGTTTTATTACAACAACAGGAAACACAGACAACCTGGCCTGTCTCTGTGCCTCTGCTTCTCTCTGTCWSTCTCTCCACACTACTGTTGTACACTGTTGAACACTGTGTCTCGAGAGGCCTCATATATATATTAACAAACACCATTATGTCGTCTTAGCAAGATTTGATACAAGGTCAATGGAAAACACAAAGATAAACACAAGTGATATCTAAGAATGATTATTGTTGTTAGCAAATCTTGTTCTGACTTTAATCATTCTATCTGCAGATGAACAGCATGTCATGAAAACCTAGGTCATTAAAGGATGTCATGAATTACTTGCTTAAACATAAAGTATTAGTTCTACCACACTATCATTATTTGTTTAAACAAAAGGCCACATGTAAAACAATCAGTTTTACTGGTGGCTACTTGCACAACTGGGGGCAATAATTTAGCCAGTGACACAATCACTGGAACTGGAGGAAAAAAATGAACTTTTTCTCAATACTTGACATTCCACTTTGTGCTTGTAATCATTCAGTGATTGATGACAGTGATTAATCATGCTAAAGTGAAGGTGATTGGTTTATCCAACAATGGTCTTTCCTCATTCAGGTTTGTTGAAAATAAATCAAAATAGTGTGGCTATACGCTGAAATAAATTTACTTCAAACTGTTACATAACACGTAAAGACCTTGTGTAGAACATAAAGCAAATCACACTTGCTGTGGAACAGCGGCGCGTTGTTTGTGGCTTTAAAAGCGCTCGTTCCTGAACCGGAAAAGGCGTGGCTTTTAGCATTTTCGCGCGAAAATCCTTTTCTTCTTCCTGCAAAGCCGAGACGATATCCGGAGCGTGAGCGGTGTTTGTGTCCGAGTTTGTTTMGGGACTTCACCACGCACGGCTGTTTCACTCTGCGGGTTTTGGCCCCGCAGCGGCTGCAGCGACATGTCTCAGGCTCGAGTTACGGACTTCTTTTCTCAGAGGAAGAAAGTCGCATCAGAACCGGCGAAAAGAGCCAAGCAGCAGCGCGGCGCCGTCGTTTCTTCTTCTACGATCTTTAAAGCTCCCAATGAAAACAAAGACTCCGTTTCCTCTTCGTCCTCCGTTCACAAGGAGTTTCTACGAGTTATCGACGAAGCAGCGGGTCTTAATAATAACAATCATGGAGACGAGTCCAACCCTGGTAAGGACGCAGTTATCATCTCCAGTCCGCGGACACCGAAGAGGAGCTCGGCCGACGCCGAGATAACCGAACACTCGTCCATGAAGAAGGTACGGCAAGCCGCAGAGGCCAGAAAGGCTTCGACTCCCCGGTCAGAGAAAGGAACCAAGAGGTCTGCCAGAAAGAAACTTATCCTTCAGGAGGATTTACCTCAGGTAAATAAAACTCAGGCTCTTTGTTTTTGCATGTTGGACCCCTAAACATGTCTGTTGACTCAGACTGTGTGAAATAATGCAAAAGTTCTAGTAATTTTAATCAATTAGTTTCCTGTTATCATCTGGATGTGGATATTTTTGCAGCAAAATAAACATTTTGTTTCAGATTTTTATAAATTGGTTATCAACAGTCTCTTTATGCTGAAATGCATTAAATTTAAGTTGCATACTAAAGAGATTATCTACCAACAACACTCAAGTTAAAGTCATGTGAAAAAGAAAATCCACTCTGTCAGTGATAAGGTTTTTACATATTAAGGCATGGTCTAATCTTCATCAGGTTCTAAAATGATTCACCTCTAACCTCCATGTTTATGAAAACACAGCACATTGATATATTTAAATAAGTATAAATCCACCATGGAGAAGCTGATTACGTAGGATTTAGGATGTTCAGTTTGTTTGGAAGTGAAAGAGGAAATCTTTTCACTGTAATTAGAACTTAGCAGCATGAGTTTGGTTTGTAAAGTTTTTTTTTTTTAATGGTTGTCAAGTTTTCTGGAACCAAGTCTTTTAGACAGCTATTAAGCACAGTGGTGGAGGGTGATGATTTGGGCTCTTTAGGCTTTTTGTAAACTAAGATTTAAACAATTTTTTAATGTCTCTATATGTAAAACTCCTAGAACTGGAAGTGGGTGAACTGTCTTTAGCTCATGCCTGTAATGCATGCAGTAAATTATCCAGAGACAAAAAGTAGAACACAAAACCTGATTGGAAATAAATCAACAACCAGCTTTGTCACCATGAATGATCCCAGCCTGTTTATTTGACCACAAACTGAAAACATCCCTCTGATCAGTTCTGTTTCTCGTTGCTCAGCAGGCTCCTCTTAAAGTGGACAAGGCATCCCTCAAGTCTCAACTTCAGAGGATTAAAAAACAGTCGGAGGACAATGTTGACCTCGCTTCCACATCCTCCACTTCCTCCTCTCCGGCTTCTTTTAACAATGCAACCCCAGCTGCTTCCAAAACCACCGCGCCCGTTCCCACAGACGCCAACCCCCTCAGTGTCACAGTGGCCAAGGCCAGAGAGCTGGCAGCCAAGTCCCTGAGGAGAAAAGAGAAGCGGGAAGCCGAGGAGACCAAGCAGACCGAGACGCATCCTCAGGACAGGTGAGCGAGCTGAGCCGAGAACAGCACCACCTCTGTCTCTGTGCTGTCATTCTTCTTTGTTGACCTGACTGTTTTTTTTTTTTTTTTTTTTCTTGTCCAGGGCTGAGCAGCCAGCATACCAGCGGTACCACAACCTTGCTCAGGCGGGCCCCCCGGGCCTGTCATTGCCCTACCAATACAAGGTTCTGGCCGAGATGTTCAGGAGTATGGAGACTGTGATCGCCATGTTGTACAACCGCTCAGAGACGGCCACCTTCAGCAAGATCAAGCAGGCGGTTCAGGACATGATGCGCAAGTATGACAGGATGGATGCACCTACAAATATATGGAGAGCCGTTTCATTCAAAATACAATACAATAAATAAAGTAATTAATAAATATTCCATCAAATACATACATGGCCCCATGAAAAAACAAAATTATGGAGAGCCGTTTCATTCAAAATACAATAAATAAATAAAATAATTAATAAATATTCCATCAAATACATACATGGCCCCATGAAAAAAACAAAATTAATGTAATACATTTTTAGCATGTCTTTATATTATTTATTTATTTTTTATTGTAAAACAAAATTTTACCTTATTTATTTATATTAAAATGTATTTATTTATTATATATTGTAGTTTGATTTTGTAACAGTTTTATTTTGTAAATCTACTTTACATATTTCAGGGACTTTTATTTTGAACTCTCTTTTTATTTCAGGCTGTTTTACTATTTCAGGCTGTTTTATTATTTCATGGCGTTTAATTTCATGGTCCAATATGCAAATGAGGGGGTGGAGTTCTGGTTTGGGATTCAGGAAATGATCTGTTTCACCACCAGAGGGGGATATTCCCCTGCCTGGCCTTTCTTCATAATTAAATGTTCATTTTTATAAATAAAAACACAGACATATGTCCATAAATGAGTTGATTGACTGTCACTCTGTGATTATAAAGGCTTTGCAGAGACACTTATGGTGGCTTTTGGTCAAATAACCCTGATTTTATCACTCAGAACAAAAGTAGCTTTTTTTTCCAGGTAGGTCAGAGCTTTGTTGGCCAAGCCGAATTGTTAAACATCTTTCCAAATGTATGGCGTTCAAGTTTCATGCAGCTAGCCCCTTCCTGTCTCAAGTTATGGCTAAAATGGTCTGTTTTCTAGTACAGTTCTCTGTAGTGATTGCACATAAACAGACATCCAGTGACTGCAAGCAGAATTTGTGAAAATACAAAACTGGTTTAAACTCAACAAATTATCATTAAACTTGGACAAAACTAATTACCGGTATATGATATTTACAAAGAGACAAATAACTGTTAACAATCGTTTTAGAGTTGATTGTGTAGAGATTAATAGAATCAGTGAGGTGAAGTTTTTGGGTGTTATTATTGATGAAAAACTGACACGGAAACCTCATAAATTATTTAAGAACAAAACTAGCTAAATCTATTGCATTGCTTTACAAAGTAAGGGACTTGTTTAATGGTAAAGCTCTGTATATGTTATATAACACATTAATTGTTCCACACTTGGTTTATTGTGTTGAAGTATGGGGTAAAGCATGTAAGACTATTACACATCCTGTTTTTGTTTTTGCATAAAAGAGCTATAAGAGTTATCACTCGAAAAAACTACCATTATCCATCTAATATATTATTTGTAAAGTAAAATTATTGAAATTCTATGATTTGGCTGATTCTGATATTTTGTTAGTTATGTATAAAACACACTGAAATGCATTAACTTCAAACGTTCAGATAAGCTTTACAAAGAGAGAGAGCTGTTTTAATCTAAAGGGAATAGAGATGTTCATGAAACTTAAAGTTAGAACATGTTTGAAAGAACGGTGCACCTCAATCCAAGGAGTGATACTGTGGAGTAATTTGGAAGATGATGTTAAAAGTGCCACATCAATGTACATGGTTAAGAGAATGATAAAGATTAGTTTGTTAAAAAAATAAGAAATGGTTTAATATGTAGCTATTTTATTTGTTCTAGAAAGTTTTGATGTTTTGTTAACTGAAGATTATTATAGTTTGAATTTATAATTAAGAAAAAAGGGGCAGATATAAGATTTTTTTCTTCTCTGCCACCTTTCATTTTATTTGTATTTTTTTATTGTACATATATTTTTGTTTTTTATGGAATGAATAAAGTTTGAAATAAATTTAAARAATATTTATTTACTTGAGACTAACATAATTTTGTTGTTTTTTAGGCGGTTTGAGGAGAGCCACATCTGTCAGATAAAGACAGTGTTTCCTGAGGCGTACTCGTTCAAGCAGGAGAAGAACGTTCCAACCTTCAGCAACAACGTGCTGAAGGGCAGCTACCAGCTCACTGTGGAGCCCCTCTTTGGACCGGGTCAGAACCTGCTTTATTCAGACACTCTTATCTCAACTGGGAGTTATTTTATTTTGTATTCCTGAGCCTTAATGTTTGTGTAAAGTTAATGTGTTTCTCACTGGTCTGTGTTCGTCCCATCAGACCAAAACGAAGCCCGGCCCGTACTGACCGCCTCTCGTCTCCTCGAGAGACGACGCATCTTCCACCAGAGCCTGGTTTCTATTGTCAAGCGGCATCATACGGTGAGCCGGAGAACCAACTCGTCTCGATCCTTTTAAGAGCTGCCGTTTCACGTGTTAAAGCTGCTGACTTGTTTCTAAAGCTCCGCCTCCGTCTCTTCCCGCAGGACTTCCTGTCCTCGCTGGTTCCCCCGGTGTCTGTTCCAGAAGACAAACTGACCCGCTGGCACCCTCGCTTTAATGTGGACACGGTTCCAGCCGTCCCGCCCAGCTCGCTGCCTCAGCCTCCCGCCACACAGAAACTGAGCACGGCTCAGGAGGTGCTGGACAAGGCCCGGTCACTCCTCACCCCCAAGGTACCGGCCCGTTTATTCCCCAGCTGATGTAGTCAGTATCTCACCTGTGTTTAGATGGCTTCTTGAACAAATCTGTTTGGAGAAACAGAATTTTAAGTCAGGTAGTCAGAACAAAATGGACAGAACCTCACTTTAAATTTGTCTAGAATGTCTGTTTTACTGTGAATCTTAATTTAACCATTTATTCTTTATTTGTGTCATACTTTAGTTACTAAATAATTGTGTTTTGGTTCTGTGTGTGTTCAGATGGAGAAGGCTCTGGTTTCATTGACTCTAAACACGGAGGACAAAAATGCAGCGAGTTCTGACTCATCTTCACAGAACCAGGCCTCTTCTTCATCTTCATCGTCCACTCCTGCAGCTCAGCTCCCAGCGTCCCTGAAGGGGGTTTCCCAGTCCCTGCTGGACAGGGTAGAYACACCAGCTGCAGTTTGTATCATTAGGGTCTGTTAGTTCTCTGGTTTCTAACATTTTTTTTAACTTCTAACAGATTCGAGCAAAAGAGGCCCAGAAGCTCCAGGCGGCCATGACCCGCAGCTCTGCTCAGGAGGAGCGGCTACTGATGATGTCCAGGCTCGGCGAGCTGGCGAGGATCCTCCGCAGCGTGTTCGTCGCGGAGAAGAAAGCGGCGCTGATCATGGAGGTGGCCTGCAACAGGATGGTGGCGAGCTACAGATCAGCGCTCAGCACAGGTCGGTGCAGTCGGGGAAACTGGCGCAGGATTTTGTTTCTGTGCTTGAGATTTTGTGTTCTCAGGTGAACGCCGGTGGGAAAATCAGCTGACTTGCTGTTTTTTTTTCTTTTTGCTTGTGGTGGACAGGTGAGATGGAGAAGCACCTCCGCCTGCTGGCAGAAGTAGCAGCTGATTGGCTCAGCGTCCTTCAGATCAGGAAGGATTTCTACCTGAAGCTGAACAAAAACATGGATCTCAGCATCGTTCTGGAAAAACTTAACAACAGACTCAAAGAGGAGGAGAAGCTCTGAGACGTCAGACCTTTTTACTGTGAACTTCACTACAGCTCCATGCGAGGAGCTCCCAGTTGTCCAGAAGCTTTTTCTTTTTTTAAGCTAATGTGGACAGAAGAATTTTGCGACTTTAGAAACAGGCACAGCTTGAGTTTGTTTTTTTTTTTAGCCTTGACCATGTTTCTGGTCCAGTACAGGCCTTCCTCATGTTTGCTAAAAAGGATGTGTTTTAACCATGTTTTGGTTGTAATTATGGTGTTTTTCACCCCTAACTCACACACAGGGTTAATGTTTGACTTCCTGAGGAATATTCAGTATCTGAGTAAAGTGACGATTAATGTTAAGGTTTTAAAGAACTTTGTTCTTGATTAAGAAATACACGAGTTTTTCAAAGCCTTCTCCGTTCTTTTCTGTGAGTTGTTTGATTTCTGTAAAAATGAATAATTATCTGAGAAAAATAGGTTTGTGAAGAAACTCAAATATTAACTTCTTTCTATAAAGACAGATAAGATCTGGTGAACTGTATCATTAAGGCTGCAGTCTGTAACTTTTTAAAATATATATTTTTGACATATTCGTTAAAACTGTCACTATGTCCTGACATATTGATATTAGACAGATAATCTCTGGGGGATAAAAAAAGGGGGGGGGGGATCCTCTGGCTCCTCATGGTGGTCCTTCCGCCCTCTGTTAAAATCTCTCCGACCCGGAGACGAACAGCCAATCAAAAGTGAGGTTTGTCAGCTGTTCTTGCCCACCCCCGTCCCTGCCCGCCGCGCAGCCGAGGTAGCGTGCTCTCTAACCCTACATACAGCAGCTTTAAACTTAGCACAAAAGGTAAGGAAATGTGTTCAGTAGATAATTTCTTTGTAACAATGCTTGGCAATAAATTTTATGTTGGAAAGACCTAATTTCCCTTTTTTTAAAAGGTGCCACATTTGTAAGGAACCTGCATGTATGGGATGAGGAGTAGAGCTGAGTATGTGGGTGCAAACAGCTTATTTTGCTGTTGWACCCCCCGGTGCCTGCTGTGTTGTTTATTGTTTTATTCGGATCCCCATTAGCTTCCACAGCAGTGGTTGTTAGTCTTCCTGGGGTCCATAGAATACAAAAATACAATTAACAATACATACAATCAAAACGTACATATTCATTTCCATAAGAGTTTTAAAAGCATGTATGATGAGCAAAGTATGATTTATTACCAAGAAGCACTATTACAACAGATAATCTACCAAACATTTTGTACCAAGTACATAATAACAGGCCTATTTTAAAGCATGTTTTACTGTTTCACAACAAAATTYATCTCAGGGCTTTTTATAAAATCATTTCCATACATTATAAAATGCCAGGTCATCAGTTATCTGTGGAAGCCTGCAGATTGTTAAATGTTCACATTATCAGTTTCCTGTCTGAGCAACACAAAGGTAAGAGTGGAAAGAAACAAAACCTCCCTTTTAACAGGAGAAACCTCCAGCAGCTGGAGGACAGGAAACAAGACGACTGGTCAAGCCCATCTTTGTCCAAGGATTAGTTTTTAATCCTTTTATTTATTTAGTTTTCTTGATGGAAACTTCCAAATTTGAGGTGTTTCTCTGCTCTGACACACCTGGTTTGAACAAACATGTGATTAACAGGCAGGACAAGAAATAAACCTGAATTTACTTAACTAAACTGGTTCCACTAAACCAAGTTTATACATATTTTATATTGTGTTGATGTCTGGGGAAAAGCATGTAAAACAATAACAAATCCTGTTTTTATTTTACAGAAAAGAGCTATAAGAATTATTACCAGAAAACATTACAGTCACCCATCAAACTCATTGTTCCATCAGTTTATTGAAATTCTATGATTTGGTTGATTATTTAATCAGTTATGTATAGACATTACCTTCACACGTCCAATTCTGAAGGGGATAGAAATGTTTGTGAGACCTAAAGTTAGAACCAGTTTGAAGGAACGGAGTACTTCAGTCCAGGGAATTAAATTATGGAATAATCTGGAAGATGACACTAAAAATACCAGATCAATGAGTATATTTAAGAGAATAATAAAGGTTAATTTGTCAGAGAAATATGTATGGGTATAATGTACGAATTGTTGCTCAAGAAGGAATTAAACCTTCATTGTTTTTATTTTATTTTGTGTACGTTTTTGTAAAATGAAGAATATTTTGGATTGAATTTATT